TTCCTACTAGCAGATTTTTTTATTTTCCACAAAGCTTCTTCATTTCAATGTAATTCTCTCATTACAAGCAGCAGAAGGTACTGTGTAAGAGATATGTTTATTGGATGGGTAAGCAACCTCGGCACGCCAGCTGTGGTGAAACTACAAATTCCATCCTGGCTCTGGGAGTAATGCCTGTGGCTGTCAGAGTCTTGCATTGCCTCATGGGACTTGTAGTTTCACCACAACTGGAATGCCAAGGTTGCCTACCCCTGGTCTACAGCAAGCCTGGCTGTTCATACATGAAAAGCTTCAGCTTGGATAAGAGCCGTGTATAAAGCAAGCTTCGAGCAGCTTTGTTGAAGCCTTTGAAGAAAACTTCAGAGCCAGTTTTTTAGGTTAAACACAGACTGTAACAGCACCACACTCTGGCATATTGCACCACACTCTGGCATCTGGTAATGGCATAACAAGCCAGCAAATCTAAAAGCAAGGTAGAGGGTGCACCAATCTCGTGTAATGTCGATGATACAGTTGTTGAGCAAAAACTTCATAAAATGCACCTACAACCTCAGTGCGGAGAAGAGCTCATCATTGGCCCTGCACAGAGCTGTCTGTGTGTTGTCATTTTACCTTTCTTGAAGGATCAACTGGGATAAACTTGCACAGGCCAAGAAACAATGGAACAGCAGACAGATTTTCTTCTATATCACAAAGACGTATAACAGGTTGAACATGTAGAAATGGGGTCAGCTCACTTCAAAGTTGTTCACCTTTCTTCCCAGAACCTGTCATTACACAAGTGAATGCGTTATTGTGGACAGAGAATCTGACTCATCTGAGCCATTAACAGTCACTGTGCATTGTAGTAGGTGCAAAAAGGTCAACTTGGACCTCCTTGTCTTGGCCAGAGGCTAAAACTCTTCACAGAGGACTATAGGTTATGTGGAGACCATGTTCAGTGAGTTCTGGATTTATCTCAGAGATACCAGAAGAGCTCCAGGAATGCAGCCAGTGACTTTCAGCCTGCATTCTGAGTGTCCTTCCAATGTTCTGGCACGGACATGGGTAAGGTTAGTTAATGAACATGCAATATGAGGCACAGCCACAAACAAGTTCAGGTGGATGTGACGCAAATCAAAGTGAGGTTTTCTCATACCTTTGTGTGCGATAAGTCATGCAGCACGACACACTGTTACCACAACTTTGTCCTTCCTTGGTTCTCCTTTTACTCGGACTCAACTTTTATTTTTTTTAAAGCACCAAAATATATACAATTCTGGCCTAGTGTTCTGCATTTGTTGTGTACTGTAGAGATTAGGACGGCTCCAATACCAGCTATTCCCGTATCGAGTAACAATATTTCTGGTTCGTTACTCGCCCATACCGAGTACTGATGCCAGTACTTCTGGTAGCGTGGAGCCGGCTTCCCGTGCAATCAGGAAGCATGTCATTACTACTTCCCGGCTTCTTGATTGCCCGGGAAGCCGGCTCCATGCTGATTGGCTGGGAAGCCAGCAGCCCAGCAAATCAGAATTGAACCGGCATCCCGACTTCACGGCCAATCAGGAAGCCAGGCCGCGAGTCCTAACCAGCGGCCCAGCTTCATGATTGGCCGGGAAGTCGGCTCTATGTTCCCTTGCAGCACTGCCGGTCAGAGAAGATAATCAAACCAGCGTGAGCATGCTGCAGTTTTATTTTACACATCAGATAAGAGGCACAGCATAGAACAAATCTTGACCTTTATAGCCGTTTCTCATGTTACTGCAGTTACTTTCACTGGCACCAGACAACTGCTGTGCACATTGTTTAAGGAATTCTAAAGTCCCAGCATGCACTATTGTGTTAGAACATCAGCACTGTAATAGGAATACATACTAGTGTTGTTTTTGATAATGCAATCAAATCTTACTTGAAATAAATCCCTTTTATGTAGTGAGTGCTGCCGTCTGTGTGCCAATCACTTTCATCAACTTCCTGGATCCCCAGTGTGCTTTGCGTCTCTTTCCCTGCTGCTTGATGTGATGCAGTCTCCATTTCTAAAGACTACATATCCCATCATGCATTGCTTCCAGCAAGCAATGATGTTACATTGTGGGCGCTTTCTGTGCTCACTGTAAGAGAGGGGAGGGAGTTGATTTGTAGTCTGGACGGCAGGCTTTGGGAGAGTGGTGACATCAGGAACTGCATGTTAGCAGGGTTGACTGAAAAAGTTTATGAACTTCTAGTTTGATATGGTTATTATTTGGAGTGGGATAAAACTTATGGAATTTCAATATATTATATATATATATTTATTTATTTGTAGTTTTTGACCATAGATACCCATTAGCATCAAGATTGCCAATGTGACAAGGCCCTAACGCTTAGTTAGAATCTGCTAGTAATCAAATTGCTTGAAAATACATGGGGGGCGGGCACATACACCTGCTTTGTATGTCACTTCCTCACTGCTTTTTGCAGTACGGTGTCGGTCTATAAACGGCAAACCGGAGTTGCCCACAAGAAAGCGCCTCCGTGCTCCTCCAGCCAGCTAGGGAGCGACAGTTGAGGGTTTTATACTTCTTGCTGTGTCCTTCAACACAATCCTGCTGCTGCCGAGTTCTTGCCAGCAACAGGACCACCAGTGTGATGTAGCCCTAAGACAAGGTTGGACATATTAATATGGAATCCAGGAGCCAGCAGCAAATTGTTTTGTTTTAAAAGGAGTCAGCTCCACTGACAACTAGAGACAACCTCAAAAGTTAGGCACCAGTTGTACTTGTTAAAAGAAGAACTATGGGGTTAGGACTTTTCCCCATAGTTCTCCTAAGGGTAACGGGAGGACACAAACTAGCGTCCTATCGTCACCCAGCTCGCGGTATACTGAGACGCCACAGCCGGAACGGATCCCGACATTTATGTCTGGATCCACCCAGCTTTGTGAGTGACAGCTGGCTCTGCCTCTAGATATGCAGAGCCAGCTGTCACTCACAAAGCTGGGTGGATCCGGAGGCAGAGCCAGCTGTACCCGCCCCCTCCCGTCAGCACTGGAGGATCGGACAGGGGAGGGGGGAATACAGTCCCTCCCCTGTCACGGCTCTCTGCCGGCACCGGATCGAAAAGTGAGCGAGCGCCGGTATGTGTACGCTCACTTCCTGATCTACTGAGCCGACCTGTGACAGTTTCATTGTCACAGGTCGGCTCAGATTATGAGGATGAGTGAAAATAACTCGCCTCATAATTCTCCTTTAAGTACTGGCTACCCAGCTCCTAGCATTGGTCCAGCCCTGTCCTAAGCAGTTGCATGCTCTGTGCTGAAAGCATGTAATGTTATACACAAATGCCTAGAGGGGCATACTGTATTCCTGTTGTAAACATAACTGCATGCATCACTTATTTTCCTCTATTACACTGTATATGTGCACTGTGAAGAAGAGGGTGAAGTGCATTATTATACATGGGTCAGAGACATAACTAAGAAACTTTATTTATTTTTACAATCTTACAAAATGTTATCAGGATCAGTTAAAAACCATCACAGAAGAGCTACATAGCAAGTTATTATTCTTTTCCAACTAAAAATCCAGTTTATTTATATGCAACTTAAAAAACAAAAAGTAATATCCTGATAACTAGGGATGCAAAGATACCGTTTTTTTTCGGTATCGAGTACTGATATTTCTTTCCAGTACTCGCCGATACCGAATACCGATACCAGAAGTCCCATTCAGGAAGCAAGGCGGCGTGTAATGACTTCCCGATTAGCCGGGATTACAGCGCCATGCACCCTTGTCCTGACCAAGCAGGAAGCCGGGTGGCGAGTCATTATATGCCGTCTGGCTTCCTGATTGGCTGTGAAGCTGGCTCCATGCTCCCTGGTGACGAGGGAGCATAGAGCCGGCTTCCAGGCCAGCCAGGAAGTTGGACAGCGTGTTGTGACCTGCCGCCCAGCTTCCTGATACCGGAAGTTACGGTATTGGGATAAGTATTGGGAGCATTTGGGCGAGTGCTCGCACAAATACTCGGTATCGGCACTGAAGCCGGGTGGCGAGTCATTACATGCTGTCTGGCTTCCCGATTGGCTGTGAAGCCGCCCTCTATGCTCCCTGGTGACGAGGGAGCATGGAGCCGGCTTCCCAGCAAGTCGGACGGCGTGTAATGACTCGCCGCCCAGCTTCCTGATACCGGAAGTTTCCATATTGTGATAAGTATTGGTACCCGCCCAAATACTCGGTATCGGCACTGATACCGATACTAGTATCGGTGCTGACGAAAACAGGATCTACACTATATTTCCAGAGCATGTTACAGAATGAAAGCAGAAATATGGCTCTGGTCTTTAGCAACATCTCAGATTTTACATTAACACGATTTTCCTAAAACAGTTCTAATGTACTTTGTATGACGGCTAGGATGACATCTTCCTCCCACCCACAAATACAATCTCCTGTATTGTTTGCTTTTTGGGATTTAAAAGAAACCAGTCCAGTCAGAAACATAGGCGCTGCCATTACCAACTTGTTTATTTTAAGGTACACCTTCCCCCAGGGTTGTCATTAGGAACCATCCCACACTACCTGGTGAGTCAATGTGTTCATTAGCTGTAATCACACTTCACTGGCTTTTAAAGCCCGTCTGTGTGTAAGCAGTGGTCTCTCTGCAAAGGTCTGACACCTCCTGCTAAATCAGTTTAGTATTCCCATAAAAGTCTATGAGAATGCAAAACCCTCTTAAAGCAAGTCAAAGTGAGGTCAAACACACCCGTCAATGAATTCTGAATGATCTCCGAAGCATGTCAAGCTGTTGCATTGACACAAGCCCAAAGCCAACAGTTTCCCTAAAAGGTACCGCTAATGTATTTAGCTGATGTAAACAAAGTGCAGTTGGGTTTTAAACCATTGTGCAATTATAACAGTGTGATTGTCTTTTTCATTAAAGAAGCACATGCTTGGGTATTCTGGAAATCTTCAAATAAGAATGGTCAAAACGTGAGGAAGATCAACTAATACAACTAATTGTATCTTCCCCATAAAGCAATTCAGCTGCAGTGACAACATAAAACTTACAAAGAGTTTAGTCTTAAAAAAACAGACCATTAATCTTCATCCACATCAGAGAGAGACCCTCTATAAACATTGAGCATCACATTCAGTCACATTCATCTTCCTCGTCCAACTCTCTCATGACCTTCTGGCTGTAGGACTTCCAGGAGTCTCCTCTGTGTCCATCCTCCTCACTGTCTTCATAATAACCTGAAGAAGCACAAAGAAAGCATAATAAAATGGCAGCAGAAGCCAACCCAACTATGGGGAGCAACAGGAAATGATGGCTAAACACCAAGCTTTAGACCCCCGTTCACACTGAGTGGTTTGTCGCGCGATTTCCGCTCCGAAATCGCGCATATTTCCGCGCTATATCGCTCTATGTAGCTTGTCCAATGCATTTCAATGGAGCTACTCACATCTCACAGCTCAATGTCGCCTGTAGCTCGTACATGAACCTTTTTTCGGCGGATGTCGCGCGATTCGGCTCCAATAGACTCAATAGAGTAGCGCATTACCGGCGATATTGCACGACCTTGTCACGCGATATCGCGCTACAGAAGGGTCACTTTTGCACTGCAAAATGGAAGGAAAGAAAGATGTCACATCAAGACCACTGTTGATTGGTTACAGCTCAATGTAGCAGCGATTAAGTCCCTCCAAAAAGTCACGCTACGTAGCGCGATGAAATGTGCACTGTCGCTCAATATTGCGCATTGTAGCTCAAAGCTGCTCAGCACGGAATCGTGCGGAAAAACGCGCGATTCACCATGTCGCTCAGTGTGAATGGGGTCTTAGAAGTGAACGACACAGCTGCTGAAGTATCATTAGAAGCAACTCGGGTACAGCCCAACTGGAGCAGAAGAAAAAAAACTGTATTTAAAAGATGCCTTTTCATACTCGCCTTTCCCACCACCAATGTTTACTGGCTTGTGATGCCGCTGCTGAACTGTCTTTGGCACAATTGTGAGTGTGTCAAATGCCTATGTCCCCTGCTGCACACTTTGGTTCCAACTGGTGGCATCTATATCACTACTGTGGCCTGTAGTTGTTAGGTAGGGTTTGGTGGAAGAAACCACATAGGGGGTGGTGTCTCTTAGAATTAGGGATGCACCAATACCGGTGTTTCGGTATCGGTGAGAGTACCGATATTTTTTTTTTTGGTAACCTCAAACTGCCAAAAAGTAATTGGCACCCTTCATTCTGTGATTTTGAAATACTTACACTTGCAGAGCATTCACTTCTTGCTTTGAATGACCTGTTTGTCAAAGCAATGCACACATGCCTTTGTGGTTATTTTAACGCTATGGGTAAAGGTCCGCTTTAAATCTTTCCTCTGGTTCATATTCAGTGTGGTGCACACAACGTGACCAAACAGCAGAGTGATTACTTCTCTTCATGTAAATGGGCTGACTGATTGGTTACAAGAATAATTAGCATCGCAGAGCGATTTAAAATATCACCCTGATCCAATTCTTTATAACCTTTTCTAGGGGTACCATCATATGTCTGGACCATTTTAGGATATCTTTGTAGAATAAGCAGTAATGTATCTTTTTTTCACACTTTCTTTGCTTTTCTTGATGACATACCAAAAGGCATGTAGATTGATTGGTAAATTTGCTATACATATTACAATTGCTGTCATTTCATCACATCTCAGGAGCAATGAAGCATTGTTGCAATGAGTTGTGAGGGTACCAACAAATGTGTCCACCCCTGTACAAACAGTATACCTTCATTCCTCTCTTCTTGTTCCTAGCAATCTTAGTCATTGTTTTTTCTGTGTGTTTAATTTTTTTTTTTTTTGAATTTGACTTGAATTTTTTTACACTTAACTGTATAGAAGCCCCCAATGTGATAGCAAATTTACAGTGACGGGTCGCCTTCATGAAGACATCAGGGGTCTCTAAGACCTCTAATGTCACCTAGAGACCCCCCAAGAAGCTGATGAAACACAGATCTGCTTCACCAGCTTCTCTCTGACTTCTGTAGCCAGAGAATAACAGTTGAATGCAGAAGTGATGTAATTTACATCACTTCTGCATTCAGACATCGGAGGGGAGATGAGCGGGAGATCGCGTGCTGATCTCCCTCCGATGTCTGGTCACAGAGCTGCCATGCTAGTCCCAGGCCCGCCCGGGCACAGCGGAGCCCAGGAACGGTGGAGGGGAGGCGCACCTTTTGGAGACAGCATACAAGCGATCGGGCGGCTCTAAAGATGCTCGAACGTTTGTATGCAAACAAGCATCGCTGGCTGTTTAATATACAGTCTGGCACAAGGACGTTTAAAATCGCCCACCCGCATCCAGGAAGCCATTTCATTCCAACGGCCGGGCATCAGGTGGTTAAAGCGCTGCTGAAAAAACATGTTTTTGTGTTTTTTTTTCCAACAAGCATTGACATTCTTCCTTTTATTTTCCATATGGCAAAATAATAAAGGAGAAAATCTAGTTATAGAGCAGACAATCTGATTTCCCTTTAGATATTGGAACAACAAGGCCTGCTGTCGCACTGCATTGGTGTAAGCTCAGAAATTCTACAATCTCTCAGCAGCATTCAAGCAGCAGGGTCAATGTGTGATGTTTTTGAAGGATCAGACGATGAGTGAGCACGGATTCTGGTCATTGCTAAATAGATTGCTTAGATTTTGTGACTTTTGTCTCTCAGTTCCTTTTGCATAGATCAGAAATGAAATCATAGAACCAATATAATGTGTAGTAGCTGGATAACATGCTTGTGGTCATTATGACTGCCTCTGAACATTGTTTTGTTACACCCTTAAATGTGGCACAGCAGACAAATGAATGAGCTATACAGTTTCTTAGTACAGCTCAGCTTTGAAGATAGAACTTCATTTGTCCTCCCACCGATGTTCTTTTTGTACTTAGAATAGGTCAAATAGGCCTATTATTTGAAAATACCACGAGCAGGCCGTGGCATTTATTTAGACCATATATTGAGAAGAGCTTCCCAATTGTCTTCAGTAAGTATTTGGTTAAGCCGAATTTGAAATGATTCTTAAACAAACATTCCCATTGTGCAGAACCACAGGTTACAGGGCATCCCGTAAAAATAAGTTTAAAGCCCCTACCCCGTCATACAAACATGTGTCGGATGCGCCTACATGGGAAGATGACAATTGTGTCTCACATGTTACATATCACCGTGAACGTCGGAGTGTGAACAATAATTCTAGTGCCGATAATCACTGTTAACACTAGACTGATGAGTGATAAAAAAGGTTTTAAAGCATCGCCTATGGCCTATTGTGGTTATGGTAGTTTTTTGCGATTTTGCAGGCAATTTTAAAAGAGAACTATAGGGTAACCTTTCTATCCCATAGTTCTCTTTAGTGTCACGGGAGGACCCTAAGAGAACTATGGGATGTCCTCCCGTGACCCAAATTTCAGTATATAGTGGGCCATCGCTATATACTGAGAGCGCCGCAGTCGGGACGGATCCCAACAATACTGTCTAGATTCACGCAGCTGGCTATTGCCCACTGTATGCTGACAACGCAGAGCCGCGCTGCAGCCGGGGTGGATCCCGACAATACTGTCGAGATCCACCCACCTGGGTGATTGACAGCAGGCTCTGCCTATCTAGAGGCTGTGCCCTCCCTGTCCGTTCCTCCACTCAGTGCTGGAGGATCGGAGAGGTGGGGGATCCCCGCGGGGAGCGGTCACTGACCGTCACCACTCTCTTTCTGCAGGAAGATGATCGGGAAGTGAGCGAGCGACGGTATGTGTTCGCTCACTTTACGATCTATAGAGCCGACGTGTGACAGTTTCAATGTCTCAGGTCGGCTCTAATTATGAGGAAGAGTGTAAATCACTCACCTAATAGTTCTCCTTAAAGGCTTGACACATATGGCGTCTAGTCACCCGACGTGACCCCCATCTTTTATATTTAGCAAAAAATTGGGTAACAATAAATGTTTCATAATGACGTAGTGAAAACTGGTTTGTTTTTTTACAATGTGTTTGGTAATTTTTCCTTACTATAGTAAAAAAATAAAAACCCTCAGTGGTGATTAAATACCTCCAAAAGAAAGCTCTATATGTCCCCACAAAATGATATACGTTTCATTTCAGTACGACGTTCCATGACTGTAATAAATGTCAGTCAAAGTACCTCAGCGCTGAATACTGAAAAATGGCCTGGCCAGGAAGGGAGTTTTAACACCCCGGTCACCAAGTGGTTAAGAAGTGAAGTATACCAAACAAGCTGGGAATCTCAGAGAATAATCATCCCAATCCATAAAAGGGTACCATTAGGAATGGATCCCAATAAAAGCTTCTGAAAATTCTATTTACCCAGGATGCAAAGTGCATGTCCAGCCAGTTTAGTTTTGGGCAGAGTGGGGAAGGATTGGAACACCTTTTAGGGGTCCTGTTATATTTTCCTCACTTCCTGTTTTGTGACAATGTTTTTATCAGACAGGAAGCATGGGGAAATCTGCACAGCAAAACAGACAAAAAATGCTTCTCTTCTAGTAGGGAAAAGCTAGACTCTCGGTCAGCTTTTTATTTCTGTATCTCTGTTGCAAATGTTTCCTTCCTGTCTGGTGGAAGCTTCGTCACCAGGATGGCTAGTAACAGGAAATCTCTCTAATGAAGCCCTGCGGAGCAGAAAAACCACTCTCTCTCATTTGGTATTTATAGCTTTTGTATACCAGTTATAGCTCGCTAATAATAAGATCAATGCCAATTACCCATGTATCTCTCCTCCCTGTCACTGTCATTCTCATCATCTTCATCGGGATAATCATTTCTCCAGTTGCTTTCCTCATTCTCATCATCCTCATCATCATAGACTTCCTCTGGCTCAGGATCTTCAGGCATCTGCATTAGAACCGACAGGGAGCACAACTGTCATTTGACTTCATATTCAATGATAGATTATTGTAAATCAGCCTATTGTACAAATGATTGTGCACAGGAACAGTTTGGAAATATGAGCGCTGCCAATGCTGAAGCAATCAAGAGGGTCACAGGTCACTTGAAGTCTCACATTTTCCATGCAGGCAGCAAATGTCAAACTTCAGATGGCTTCTGACCTGACACTGCAGATAAAGTGTCAGATTGAAATGAGGAAGGTAAAGCTACAGAACAATCTTTCATAAGTAGTTACGGGATGAAAGTCCGCAACTCACTAATCAGACTGAGACAATTCACTGCTGTGAAAGAGTCAAACTTAAAGGGTTGGTTCACACCATAGGCAGGGCGTCCCGGTCAGAATCGGTGCAGAATAGTGCTTGCAGCATTTTGATCGCACTGCGCCGGAACGCCCGGCAAAAAAGTGAGCCGGCTGCAATGCGGGAAGTGCCTTCCGGCCCGATTCTGACTGGAACGCACTGCCTATAGTGTGAACCAACCCAAAAGGAGGCCAAAGTCACTTTGGCAACATGAAAGGGTTAATGTAAAAGGGATATTATAACGTGGAAGGATGCAAAGTTCGATGGCTGTTTCACTGGAATGCATGCTGACATTTTGTAGAAGTCCTCAAGTTATTCACCTCATAATGTCCCAGGTAACAGTGCACAAATAAACGGAAAGCTTCACTTACCACAGGTTTAACCCTGGGAGCAGTCACCGCTGGCTTGCCTTCCTCCTCCATTGGGCAGCGCTAGCGGTAATCTCCCCTTCAGACTGTTCTGGTATTGGGGCCCACGTGCATAGCGGCGTCCAGTGCTCCAAACTGCAGAGAATTCGCAGTAGAAGTGAGGTAAGCGGTCGCGGCTGAAGTTGACATCAAGCATTCAAAGCCGAGGCTTGGAACGCACAGGAAACACATCCCCGCCCACTGCCTGCGCTTCAAATGCTGTTCAGCATGCCAGACGCCGCTCACAAGCCCCTTCCAATTTTACCTGCTTCAAGCAAGAGGAGAGGACAGGGCATGACCTCAAAGCCAACCGGTCAGGAAAAAAAGAACAGACGTGATGTGGTCCTGGACGGTAGGAAACACAATCTAAACTGGAGGTACAAGGGGAATGGGAGGGGCTTTTAACTGCTTTGCGAATTGTGTTTCCTGTAGAAGGTGGAACCAATCATCTCTCAGGTTGCTGTCCTGGAAGATGATTGGGGAAAAGATGACTTCAGTGTCACCTGTGTGGTTTCTAGTTCTAGTGTGGTTTCTAGTGGGCCTCACAGTGAAGTGAAGCTCAGTTAAAAGGTAGCTGCACTAAAGGTACAATTTATAAGCATAGCTTATGACGGAGTCCTTTAATATTGTACATTTCTTACCAGTTCCTCCTGCTGCTGGGAGTATGGCTGGACAGACAGGATGTCCTGGATCCAGATCTGTGGAGCGGATTCTGCATAATATATGTCATACACAAATTCATCTGGGTTCTCCCTGTGCTCGGAGCCAAGTCCCTCATCAGAAACAGTCAGGTGCTCCCGAATCATCTCCACAGAATTGCACGTGATGGTTTCAGGGTCGCTTTTCTAAAATCAATTAGAAAGACACATTGCATATTGCCATCACCAAAATGGTACAGTCATATCCCTTCCATAACACAGAATAATGACATATAACCAAGTCCCACAAATCTGCTCAGATGTTAGATTACATGGGGCCGCAAAGTTATTTTCATTCCTGAAGAAAAAAAAAACAAAACACGGAAGTAACAAACCTTAAAGAAGAACTCCAGGAAAACTTTCTTAACCCTTGCAGCGGGACTACCCCAGCACTGTAAGTGTTAAGTGCTCGCCTGTGTCTAGGCACAGGCGGTGGACTGTGGACAGCCCGAAGGCGGCTCCCTGCGCCGGTGGACAGCCCGAAGGCGGCTCCCTGCGCCGGTGGACAGCCCGAAGGCGGCTCCCTGCGCCGGTGGACAGCCCGAAGGCGGCTCCCTGCGCCGGTGGACAGCCCGAAGGCGGCTCCCTGCGCCGGTGGACAGCCCGAAGGCGGCTCCCTGCGCCGGTGGACAGCCCGAAGGCGGCTCCCTGCGCCGGTGGACAGCCCGAAGGCGGCTCCCTGCGCCGGTGGACAGCCCGAAGGCGGCTCCCTGCGCCGGTGGACAGCCCGAAGGCGGCTCCCTGCGCCGGTGGACAGCCCGAAGGCGGCTCCCTGCGCCGGTGGACAGCCCGAAGGCGGCTCCCTGCGCCGGTGGACAGCCCGAAGGCGGCTCCCTGCGCCGGTGGACAGCCCGAAGGCGGCTCCCTGCGCCGGTGGACAGCCCGAAGGCGGCTCCCTGCGCCGGTGGACAGCCCGAAGGCGGCTCCCTGCGCCGGTGGACAGCCCGAAGGCGGCTCCCTGCGCCGGTGGACAGCCCGAAGGCGGCTCCCTGCGCCGGTGGACAGCCCGAAGGCGGCTCCCTGCGCCGGTGGACAGCCCGAAGGCGGCTCCCTGCGCCGGTGGACAGCCCGAAGGCGGCTCCCTGCGCCGGTGGACAGCCCGAAGGCGGCTCCCTGCGCCGGTGGACAGCCCGAAGGCGGCTCCCTGCGCCGGTGGACAGCCCGAAGGCGGCTCCCTGCGCCGGTGGACAGCCCGAAGGCGGCTCCCTGCGCCGGTGGACAGCCCGAAGGCGGCTCCCTGCGCCGGTGGACAGCCCGAAGGCGGCTCCCTGCGCCGGTGGACAGCCCGAAGGCGGCTCCCTGCGCCGGTGGACAGCCCGAAGGCGGCTCCCTGCGCCGGTGGACAGCCCGAAGGCGGCTCCCTGCGCCGGTGGACAGCCCGAAGGCGGCTCCCTGCGCCGGTGGACAGCCCGAAGGCGGCTCCCTGCGCCGGTGGACAGCCCGAAGGCGGCTCCCTGCGCCGGTGGACAGCCCGAAGGCGGCTCCCTGCGCCGGTGGACAGCCCGAAGGCGGCTCCCTGCGCCGGTGGACAGCCCGAAGGCGGCTCCCTGCGCCGGTGGACAGCCCGAAGGCGGCTCCCTGCGCCGGTGGACAGCCCGAAGGCGGCTCCCTGCGCCGGTGGACAGCCCGAAGGCGGCTCCCTGCGCCGGTGGACAGCCCGAAGGCGGCTCCCTGCGCCGGTGGACAGCCCGAAGGCGGCTCCCTGCGCCGGTGGACAGCCCGAAGGCGGCTCCCTGCGCCGGTGGACAGCCCGAAGGCGGCTCCCTGCGCCGGTGGACAGCCCGAAGGCGGCTCCCTGCGCCGGTGGACAGCCCGAAGGCGGCTCCCTGCGCCGGTGGACAGCCCGAAGGCGGCTCCCTGCGCCGGTGGACAGCCCGAAGGCGGCTCCCTGCGCCGGTGGACAGCCCGAAGGCGGCTCCCTGCGCCGGTGGACAGCCCGAAGGCGGCTCCCTGCGCCGGTGGACAGCCCGAAGGCGGCTCCCTGCGCCGGTGGACAGCCCGAAGGCGGCTCCCTGCGCCGGTGGACAGCCCGAAGGCGGCTCCCTGCGCCGGTGGACAGCCCGAAGGCGGCTCCCTGCGCCGGTGGACAGCCCGAAGGCGGCTCCCTGCGCCGGTGGACAGCCCGAAGGCGGCTCCCTGCGCCGGTGGACAGCCCGAAGGCGGCTCCCTGCGCCGGTGGACAGCCCGAAGGCGGCTCCCTGCGCCGGTGGACAGCCCGAAGGCGGCTCCCTGCGCCGGTGGACAGCCCGAAGGCGGCTCCCTGCGCCGGTGGACAGCCCGAAGGCGGCTCCCTGCGCCGGTGGACAGCCCGAAGGCGGCTCCCTGCGCCGGTGGACAGCCCGAAGGCGGCTCCCTGCGCCGGTGGACAGCCCGAAGGCGGCTCCCTGCGCCGGTGGACAGCCCGAAGGCGGCTCCCTGCGCCGGTGGACAGCCCGAAGGCGGCTCCCTGCGCCGGTGGACAGCCCGAAGGCGGCTCCCTGCGCCGGTGGACAGCCCGAAGGCGGCTCCCTGCGCCGGTGGACAGCCCGAAGGCGGCTCCCTGCGCCGGTGGACAGCCCGAAGGCGGCTCCCTGCGCCGGTGGACAGCCCGAAGGCGGCTCCCTGCGCCGGTGGACAGCCCGAAGGCGGCTCCCTGCGCCGGTGGACAGCCCGAAGGCGGCTCCCTGCGCCGGTGGACAGCCCGAAGGCGGCTCCCTGCGCCGGTGGACAGCCCGAAGGCGGCTCCCTGCGCCGGTGGACAGCCCGAAGGCGGCTCCCTGCGCCGGTGGACAGCCCGAAGGCGGCTCCCTGCGCCGGTGGACAGCCCGAAGGCGGCTCCCTGCGCCGGTGGACAGCCCGAAGGCGGCTCCCTGCGCCGGTGGACAGCCCGAAGGCGGCTCCCTGCGCCGGTGGACAGCCCGAAGGCGGCTCCCTGCGCCGGTGGACAGCCCGAAGGCGGCTCCCTGCGCCGGTGGACAGCCCGAAGGCGGCTCCCTGCGCCGGTGGACAGCCCGAAGGCGGCTCCCTGCGCCGGTGGACAGCCCGAAGGCGGCTCCCTGCGCCGGTGGACAGCCCGAAGGCGGCTCCCTGCGCCGGTGGACAGCCCGAAGGCGGCTCCCTGCGCCGGTGGACAGCCCGAAGGCGGCTCCCTGCGCCGGTGGACAGCCCGAAGGCGGCTCCCTGCGCCGGTGGACAGCCCGAAGGCGGCTCCCTGCGCCGGTGGACAGCCCGAAGGCGGCTCCCTGCGCCGGTGGACAGCCCGAAGGCGGCTCCCTGCGCCGGTGGACAGCCCGAAGGCGGCTCCCTGCGCCGGTGGACAGCCCGAAGGCGGCTCCCTGCGCCGGTGGACAGCCCGAAGGCGGCTCCCTGCGCCGGTGGACAGCCCGAAGGCGGCTCCCTGCGCCGGTGGACAGCCCGAAGGCGGCTCCCTGCGCCGGTGGACAGCCCGAAGGCGGCTCCCTGCGCCGGTGGACAGCCCGAAGGCGGCTCCCTGCGCCGGTGGACAGCCCGAAGGCGGCTCCCTGCGCCGGTGGACAGCCCGAAGGCGGCTCCCTGCGCCGGTGGACAGCCCGAAGGCGGCTCCCTGCGCCGGTGGACAGCCCGAAGGCGGCTCCCTGCGCCGGTGGACAGCCCGAAGGCGGCTCCCTGCGCCGGTGGACAGCCCGAAGGCGGCTCCCTGCGCCGGTGGACAGCCCGAAGGCGGCTCCCTGCGCCGGTGGACAGCCCGAAGGCGGCTCCCTGCGCCGGTGGACAGCCCGAAGGCGGCTCCCTGCGCCGGTGGACAGCCCGAAGGCGGCTCCCTGCGCCGGTGGACAGCCCGAAGGCGGCTCCCTGCGCCGGTGGACAGCCCGAAGGCGGCTCCCTGCGCCGGTGGACAGCCCGAAGGCGGCTCCCTGCGCCGGTGGACAGCCCGAAGGCGGCTCCCTGCGCCGGTGGACAGCCCGAAGGCGGCTCCCTGCGCCGGTGGACAGCCCGAAGGCGGCTCCCTGCGCCGGTGGACAGCCCGAAGGCGGCTCCCTGCGCCGGTGGACAGCCCGAAGGCGGCTCCCTGCGCCGGTGGACAGCCCGAAGGCGGCTCCCTGCGCCGGTGGACAGCCCGAAGGCGGCTCCCTGCGCCGGTGGACAGCCCGAAGGCGGCTCCCTGCGCCGGTGGACAGCCCGAAGGCGGCTCCCTGCGCCGGTGGACAGCCCGAAGGCGGCTCCCTGCGCCGGTGGACAGCCCGAAGGCGGCTCCCTGCGCCGGTGGACAGCCCGAAGGCGGCTCCCTGCGCCGGTGGACAGCCCGAAGGCGGCTCCCTGCGCCGGTGGACAGCCCGAAGGCGGCTCCCTGCGCCGGTGGACAGCCCGAAGGCGGCTCCCTGCGCCGGTGGACAGCCCGAAGGCGGCTCCCTGCGCCGGTGGACAGCCCGAAGGCGGCTCCCTGCGCCGGTGGACAGCCCGAAGGCGGCTCCCTGCGCCGGTGGACAGCCCGAAGGCGGCTCCCTGCGCCGGTGGACAGCCCGAAGGCGGCTCCCTGCGCCGGTGGACAGCCCGAAGGCGGCTCCCTGCGCCGGTGGACAGCCCGAAGGCGGCTCCCTGCGCCGGTGGACAGCCCGAAGGCGGCTCCCTGCGCCGGTGGACAGCCCGAAGGCGGCTCCCTGCGCCGGTGGACAGCCCGAAGGCGGCTCCCTGCGCCGGTGGACAGCCCGAAGGCGGCTCCCTGCGCCGGTGGACAGCCCGAAGGCGGCTCCCTGCGCCGGTGGACAGCCCGAAGGCGGCTCCCTGCGCCGGTGGACAGCCCGAAGGCGGCTCCCTGCGCCGGTGGACAGCCCGAAGGCGGCTCCCTGCGCCGGTGGACAGCCCGAAGGCGGCTCCCTGCGCCGGTGGACAGCCCGAAGGCGGCTCCCTGCGCCGGTGGACAGCCCGAAGGCGGCTCCCTGCGCCGGTGGACAGCCCGAAGGCGGCTCCCTGCGCCGGTGGACAGCCCGAAGGCGGCTCCCTGCGCCGGTGGACAGCCCGAAGGCGGCTCCCTGCGCCGGTGGACAGCCCGAAGGCGGCTCCCTGCGCCGGTGGACAGCCCGAAGGCGGCTCCCTGCGCCGGTGGACAGCCCGAAGGCGGCTCCCTGCGCCGGTGGACAGCCCGAAGGCGGCTCCCTGCGCCGGTGGACAGCCCGAAGGCGGCTCCCTGCGCCGGTGGACAGCCCGAAGGCGGCTCCCTGCGCCGGTGGACAGCCCGAAGGCGGCTCCCTGCGCCGGTGGACAGCCCGAAGGCGGCTCCCTGCGCCGGTGGACAGCCCGAAGGCGGCTCCCTGCGCCGGTGGACAGCCCGAAGGCGGCTCCCTGCGCCGGTGGACAGCCCGAAGGCGGCTCCCTGCGCCGGTGGACAGCCCGAAGGCGGCTCCCTGCGCCGGTGGACAGCCCGAAGGCGGCTCCCTGCGCCGGTGGACAGCCCGAAGGCGGCTCCCTGCGCCGGTGGACAGCCCGAAGGCGGCTCCCTGCGCCGGTGGACAGCCCGAAGGCGGCTCCCTGCGCCGGTGGACAGCCCGAAGGCGGCTCCCTGCGCCGGTGGACAGCCCGAAGGCGGCTCCCTGCGCCGGTGGACAGCCCGAAGGCGGCTCCCTGCGCCGGTGGACAGCCCGAAGGCGGCTCCCTGCGCCGGTGGACAGCCCGAAGGCGGCTCCCTGCGCCGGTGGACAGCCCGAAGGCGGCTCCCTGCGCCGGTGGACAGCCCGAAGGCGGCTCCCTGCGCCGGTGGACAGCCCGAAGGCGGCTCCCTGCGCCGGTGGACAGCCCGAAGGCGGCTCCCTGCGCCGGTGGACAGCCCGAAGGCGGCTCCCTGCGCCGGTGGACAGCCCGAAGGCGGCTCCCTGCGCCGGTGGACAGCCCGAAGGCGGCTCCCTGCGCCGGTGGACAGCCCGAAGGCGGCTCCCTGCGCCGGTGGACAGCCCGAAGGCGGCTCCCTGCGCCGGTGGACAGCCCGAAGGCGGCTCCCTGCGCCGGTGGACAGCCCGAAGGCGGCTCCCTGCGCCGGTGGACAGCCCGAAGGCGGCTCCCTGCGCCGGTGGACAGCCCGAAGGCGGCTCCCTGCGCCGGTGGACAGCCCGAAGGCGGCTCCCTGCGCCGGTGGACAGCCCGAAGGCGGCTCCCTGCGCCGGTGGACAGCCCGAAGGCGGCTCCCTGCGCCGGTGGACAGCCCGAAGGCGGCTCCCTGCGCCGGTGGACAGCCCGAAGGCGGCTCCCTGCGCCGGTGGACAGCCCGAAGGCGGCTCCCTGCGCCGGTGGACAGCCCGAAGGCGGCTCCCTGCGCCGGTGGACAGCCCGAAGGCGGCTCCCTGCGCCGGTGGACAGCCCGAAGGCGGCTCCCTGCGCCGGTGGACAGCCCGAAGGCGGCTCCCTGCGCCGGTGGACAGCCCGAAGGCGGCTCCCTGCGCCGGTGGACAGCCCGAAGGCGGCTCCCTGCGCCGGTGGACAGCCCGAAGGCGGCTCCCTGCGCCGGTGGACAGCCCGAAGGCGGCTCCCTGCGCCGGTGGACAGCCCGAAGGCGGCTCCCTGCGCCGGTGGACAGCCCGAAGGCGGCTCCCTGCGCCGGTGGACAGCCCGAAGGCGGCTCCCTGCGCCGGTGGACAGCCCGAAGGCGGCTCCCTGCGCCGGTGGACAGCCCGAAGGCGGCTCCCTGCGCCGGTGGACAGCCCGAAGGCGGCTCCCTGCGCCGGTGGACAGCCCGAAGGCGGCTCCCTGCGCCGGTGGACAGCCCGAAGGCGGCTCCCTGCGCCGGTGGACAGCCCGAAGGCGGCTCCCTGCGCCGGTGGACAGCCCGAAGGCGGCTCCCTGCGCCGGTGGACAGCCCGAAGGCGGCTCCCTGCGCCGGTGGACAGCCCGAAGGCGGCTCCCTGCGCCGGTGGACAGCCCGAAGGCGGCTCCCTGCGCCGGTGGACAGCCCGAAGGCGGCTCCCTGCGCCGGTGGACAGCCCGAAGGCGGCTCCCTGCGCCGGTGGACAGCCCGAAGGCGGCTCCCTGCGCCGGTGGACAGCCCGAAGGCGGCTCCCTGCGCCGGTGGACAGCCCGAAGGCGGCTCCCTGCGCCGGTGGACAGCCCGAAGGCGGCTCCCTGCGCCGGTGGACAGCCCGAAGGCGGCTCCCTGCGCCGGTGGACAGCCCGAAGGCGGCTCCCTGCGCCGGTGGACAGCCCGAAGGCGGCTCCCTGCGCCGGTGGACAGCCCGAAGGCGGCTCCCTGCGCCGGTGGACAGCCCGAAGGCGGCTCCCTGCGCCGGTGGACAGCGGCCACCTTATAAATAGCTGAAAAGATCACTGGTGTCAGTGGTAGCTTATCTGAGAAGCATAAACTGATGATTGCTAAAGGACCCCCCCAGCAACCCCTGCAGGATCCATGGTTGGGAAAGGCTGCATTATAGTCTTCCTAGTTTTCCAGACAAACCCTGACATTCTCCTAATGGAACACTAAAAGGTGATAGAAATGAATTAGCGAGCCCCTCACATTCAAAACGGAAACATATTTTAACTAGCTAAACAAATACTGACCTTCAAATCAACCTCTTCCTTTTCTGTTTCCTCATGCACCATGTCAAAGACTTGGAAGCTGCCTACGGCATTGATTGGGGAGTCTGGATCTCCACACGCAGCGGCCTCCACCTTCCCTGGTACAGGCGTCTGGTCTGTCACTGGGCTGGCAGGTTGACCGTTTCTTGCACCGCTCTCATCATCACATTTTGGGCGGAGATTAGATATTAAGCGGTATCTGCTTTCTTGGCGTTCTGTCTCTTTCACAGCTCGAAGGTCTTTTTGGACTCGGTGTAAGCTCCCTAGGGTGGGATTAAATGCCTGGGCAGCACGGTCACGGGACAGAGCCTCGTGTACATACTTCTGAATAGGTTCGTCCTAAAAAAGACATAAAACACACACAAGGTAAACATTTGTAAAACATGAACCTTACTTAGCTGGAGGGATCCACCTGCAACAAGATGGCGCTCCTTCTTTGTTGGCAGATGAGAATCTGCAAAATTTCAGCTAGCAAGGGGGTAATGCCATAGGTGTGGGTGAGCACTCTCTTCAGCAATCCTGTTGCTGATGAGTTGCCGCCAGCAGCAGTTGAGGTGCCGCCAGCAGCAGTTTCACCAGTGTGTCATGACTTTTACAGCTTCATACATTAAAAACAGACTGATGATTACACAGCTAAATACAGGTAAGGCTCTAAGTCTAATTAATCATGTAACCCCAGAATTTGTGTAATCCATGACCCCCAGCTTAAAGGGATGCTCCAGTATGTTCCGTAGGATTATGGTGGATAACTTTACAAAGGATCAATAAATCTACTGGAACGGCCTGGTCATCTGGGCTGACCTTTTGTATTCAATAACTGTATCGTTACAGTACTGTGATCTGCCAGCAAGCAAAGCACTGCCTGGATCTCCTGAATGGATCTGCCCCAGTCTAATAGTTACTAAATCCAACCCTGAGACTGCTGTAACTTGGAGTTCTATATACACGGCTTGGGTGATGGATACAAGATTCCTGACCACTAACATGAGAAGGTTCCGTTCTCAGCGCACATATAATGCCCACGTTAAAATATATATGACAGGGCAATGCGGTAATGCACAATCTTAAGTTTCTGGGAGTTTGTGGGATATCCGACCAAAATGTGCAGTTATCCAGTGTAACCCTCTGCCTCTGAACAGGAGCTTCCTGTGATGAAGACCAGGCATTGCAGCTCTCTCTTCTTAGGAAGGGTGACTGGTCTTGTCTCCTACCCCTCATAGTTTTCTGCAGGCAGCCTGTAATGAGTGAACCCAGGACCATTGATAGGGGGAGTTTAGGCAGTCTCCCAATACTCGGCCGGGCCCCCCTGCTCTGCTTGTGCACTCCCCAGTGGTCTTTGTTTCCATCACTGTTTCTTAAGAGAACAGGAGCTGAGCAGTCATGTCTCCAGCAGGCCGCCCTACACTTACCTGGGAGGTGACAGTGGCAGCTAGCCTGAAGAGCTGCCTGCTGACCCGGCCGGGGTCCTCCTCCGCCTCCTCCTCGGTCCGGGACCTCTTACAGCTGATGAGCAGAGCCTCGGCCGGGTCTGCTCCCCTTTTCCGCTTCACTCGCAGCACCGCAGCTTCCATGGCAACTTCTGTCAGACGCAGGGTAATGACGTCACAGCCCCAGACCTGCGGGCGCGGCCATGTTGTGTGTGGCACATACACGTGCTTCCTGTGCCGGGGATTGTGGGAAGATGGGGAGCTCAAGTAACTCAGCGCTGTGAAGGACTGAGGTATGTGAATAATCAACTTCTGATTCCTCTAGCCGGTATCAATGACACAATGGAAAGGCTTATGAGTGTTTAAACGTGTTCTGCACCGAGATAAATAGAGTGTAATAGAAATGTACCAGTTTAGTGGCAGTCTCTGCTTTCAATGGAACTCTCATTATATATAAACAAAGAATCAGCTGTCAGGTAGAAAGTGCTGGTACCTAGGAGGCGACCCCAGAGCTGCAGCATTTGTCTGTCACTCTGCTCTCTTCTCCTCTCATCATGCTCATTGCATTGTAGCACCCTCAAGGAGCTGTACTGTACTGGGACTGCAAGAGACTGACACCAAGTCAGCTTCAGGTACTCGCATTGCTTGCATTTAAACAATGCATTTCATGGTGTATTAACAGAGATGCATGAATCTGTGCTTTTTCTATCTTCCTGGTGCTGAGATTTAAAGTTATTGTGCTGGGGGGGGGTTACCAGTCCCAATTATTAGGACTTGGTAGACCAACAGGACTATTAATTAATCTAAGCTGGATGAAACCTTTTTTTGTTGCTTTAGTTCTCTTTTGGGTAACAGGAAGACAATTACTATGTCCTCCTGTGACCCAAACTCAGCATATAGGGCTATATGCTGACAGAGCCATACTGCAGATGGGAAAGATTCCAGCAATATTGTTGGATCCACCCCACTGCCTGATTGACAGCTGACTCTGCCTCTCTAGAGTTAGAGCCAGCCGTACCTGCCCCCTCCCCTGTCTGTCCTTCCAATGAGTGCTAGGGGAATCCCTGCAGAGAGCTGTGACTTCTCCTTTAACCTCCTGAACAGCCGCACGGTAGTCTTGTAGGAGCGGGAGGGTGTCTTAAGATCTCCCTTTGATCTCTTCTCGGTCCCCTAATGCAGGAGGTGATGTATATTATATCACTTTCTGCATTCAGTGTCCCTCTCCGGTACAGAACACCGGTGAGAAGCTGATGAAGCAGGACTCTGCTTCATCAGCTTCTCTGGGGGTCCCTAGGTGAAATTAGGGGTCTTAGAGACCCCTGATGTCTCCATAAATAGGACCTGTCATGTGAATTGGCTAGCGCATACGGGATTTCTTAGTCCCCTATGTTATAGCAATAAAGTTAAGTGTAAAAAAAAAAAAAGTAAAATAACACAATTTTTTTTAAAGTCCCCCGCCCCACACACATACACATGCAAACATGCATCGGGTGTGCCAACGTGCGAAAACAACGATTCCGCCTATTGCCGCACATGTTGCATATAGCCGCGAATGTCGGAATGAGAGCAATAATTCTAGGGCCATTATTCACTGATAACATTAAACTGATGAGCGGTAAAAGCTTTTAAAGTGTCAGCTATGGCCAATTTTGGGTGTGGTCGATTTCGCGAGCACACCACCAAAAGAAAGCTCTATCTGTCCCCAAACAATGGTATAAAAATAATTTCAGTACAGCGTTGCATGACGGAATAAACGTCAGTCAAAGTACCTCAGGGTTGAACACTGAAAAATGGCCTGGCCAGGAAGGGGGTGTAAACACCCTGGTCTTTAAGTGGTTAATACATTACACCTGACTGATTAGCTGAACTGAGAACTGACATAGAATTGTTGTTTTCCAGGTTTTTTGCTGCAGTAACACTCCAAGGTGAACACTCCCTCAGCCATGGTTTTCTGTGGTCGTGTTAACCCAACAACAGGGGCGCTGGACTGGGTGGAAGAAGATGAGGACTACGATTATCACCAAGAGATTGCCAGGTCAGTGTTGGGGAGAAGGAAGTGGCAAACGCAAGATGCATAAACATTTCGCTGGTGTGAAGTAAAACCGTCTAATATTCAGTTTAAAGAAAAACAAAACAAAATCCTCTTATTTGTTGGTTTCAGAAAAAAATACATTTCAGCCATAACATTCCAGACATATATAATGAAAATGTATAACAAGCCAACTACCTATTTTCTAGTTTTGGGTAGAGTGTGGAAGGATTAGAACCAGTGGTGTATTTTGGTTTTGTGCTGCCCTAGGCAAGAATAAACTCACCCCCCGCCCCCCATCTAAATTTGCCCCACTTCTTCCTGTTTAAGACATTTTGTGTAACCTCCCAGTCGTTGAATGCAGCACGCACGCGGTATCGAACTTCTGACAGGGGGCGCTATTTCCAAGCAAGCGCGGGACCTCAGGCAGCCACTTCCATTTGAAAATTTAGACTGCCGGTATCGGTTCCAAAGTAGAGGGGCATTTTCACAAATATGAGTATTGCTGAGCTGATACCAGTAATGGCAGGTGTGCCTCAATGATTTGGTGGCAGTGTTTTTTGCCACCCACCTCGAAAGTGCTGCCCAAGGCAAATGCCTTGTTTGCCTTATAGCAGATACACCCGTGATTAGAACACTTGTTAGATTTTGACTGCTATCCTTCCTGTCATGCTTCCTGTCATGCTGACAATGGTTTTACTGGACAGGAAGTGAGGCAAAATCTGCAACATATAAAGACATAAAAATCTGACACGGGTTCTAGCTTTCTCAGGTATATACCAGCAAAGCATATAATACAGACGCAAAGGTTAAATAAGAACTCCAAGCAACATTTTTATTAACCCTTGCAGTGAGGTAAAGTTATACTCACCCCAGCCGCCAAGCCGGCTGCCTGCTTCTCTGGTCTCTGAAGCCTGTCTCCTCCTACGCTACAGCATTGAAATGTTGGAGGGGGAAAGTTGGGGGAGAGAGGCTCCAGGGACCAGTTTAAGAACAAGTCGGCTCCGGGGTTCAGGTTAGTATAACTTTTTGTTGTTGTTATTGTAGCACCTAGACAAAAACGAGCACTTAAAGTAATATTAAACTCTCAAACGTTTTTCAATAATGAATCCAGATCAAACAAATATACATTGCCCAGCAAAGCATTGCTTTACATTTACATGTTTACATGTTTCTGAACAGCTGCTTCCAAGTCTCTCAGCTCAGCTTCCCTAAATGTCCTGTTTAAGGTCACAAAGGACAGAGCAGACTCCAGCAACTGTTCATCTACTAGCTTGGAGAGGGGGGCAAAGGAGGGTGAAAAGTCTGTGTTTGTGGAGACACACACAGCTTACTAGCACACACACACATAGCACTCTGCTTGAGAAAGGAGTAACTCTAAAACAGGATATCCGGACCAGTGCTCAGGGGACCGGCTGATTCTGCAGGAAACTAAAACTTCTAACTATCAACAAGCAGCATCCATTGTAAGTCATTTGATCAGCTTTTAAAATAGATTAAAATCCTTTTGACTTTAATGTCACTTTAACCCTTGCAGTGCGGGGGTAGCCCCACTGCAAGGGTTATTAACTTTTTGCCCGGTGTTCTTCTTTAAGCATACAGATAGATAAAACAGTTTTATATGTAAGAACAACAACAATATTTTAGGTTTGATTGACACTTTATGATTAGAGCTGAATGATAGACATTTTATCACATTTTAATCTTTTACTAAAACAATGTGGTGTCTAAATGCATCAGATACTCTTCTGGTTCCTGAACTGATATTCTTAAAATGTTTCTTTCAGATCATCGTATGCTGATATGTTACATGACAAGGACCGTGTAAGTATCATAAATATAAGTTGTTGATCACTGCATACATGATGCAAAGGAATACTTTATACTTTTTTGTGTGTGGTTATGCATGGGCTCGTAATGTAAGTTACATGCATTCCTGTGTAAAAAAATAAATAAATGTTATTTTACCAAGGCGATATAAGTTCTCATTCTTAAAGCGACACTAAATTCAGGAGTTAAATCTTAAAAATCTATTCAAGTACCTTTTTAACTATTAACAAAAATGTATCTTATTTGTGTATCACTCGGCTGTAGATCCTCAAATCATCTCTGAATTTGTGCTGACACTGTCCTTCCTTCTGGAGGGTGGCTACTTTTTCCCCCCGTGGTCCCTGTGTGTGTTGTAAAGTAGCCACCACTCCAAGGGACCAAAGGGAGCAAAAGTAGCCATGATTTGAGGATCTACAGCTGAGTGATACACAAATAAGATACATTTGTGTTAATAATTAATGTACTTGAATGCATTTTTAGGATTTAAATGGTTTCTAAAGCCTCCGATTTTTTTTGCCTATATCTACTGCTACCAAGCAGTAGATATAGGCAAAAAGTAAAAAAAAAACGCTTTAACAGCGGTTTAAACTTACCTCGTTATCACTGCGCGCTCCCGCCGAAGAATCTAAAACTGATCGAGCAGCCGCAAAGCATCTTGGGGCGGGCGCATGCGCAGTTCATATTCTCGGCCGGGAGACGAGCAGAGACGCAAGGTAAGTCTATGGACGGGTGCACCCGCATGCAGACACCTTGGGATCGGAAGTGCCAGCAAGCTTAGAGGAGTCAGCGCTGGATCGGAGAGCCGCCGCACCGCTGGAGGGACAGATGAAAACATCAGGAAAGAAGAAGAAGATCGGATTAAGAGACATCATTTTAAGGTAAGTGCGAACATTAACATTGGGGGGAGGGAATTTTTTCTTACTTTAAAGGAGAACTATGTGATCAGTGTTTTTCCCCATAGTTCTCCTTAGGGTAACGGGAGGACACAAACCAGCTTCCTCCCGTTACCCTAAGCTCAGTATACCGCGAGCTACAGCTCGCGGTATACTGAGACGCCGCAGCCGGAGCAGATCCCGACTTAGATGACGGGATCCGCCCAGCTGCGTGAGTGACAGCTGGCTTTGCCTATCTAGAGGCAGAGCCAGCTGTACCCGCACCCTACAGCCCCACCCAACACCAGCCAGCTGTACCCGCACCCTACAGCCCCACCCAACACCAGCAGTGGAATGTCCCTTGGTATCCTGATCACCTTGTACCTTTTAAGATCACCACACACGTTACAGTCTGATTGTACAATCTCCTTTAGATCTACCAACAAATATATGTAGTGCACAGGCCTGTCTGATTGCATACAAATTGATTGGATAGATTAGGTAGGTCCTCATAGTTTTGGTAGAGCTAAAGCTGATTGTACAGAGCTTGTATGGTCAGATTATATTATGTACGGTGACCCTTAGAAATGACAGTTCTTGTGTCTCCTGCAGAATGAGAAGTATTATCAAGGAATCCGTGCAGCTGTGAAGAGGGTAAAAGAAAGAGGGGAGGAAGCCATTGTTTTAGATATTGGGACTGGAACTGGACTTCTGTCAATGATGGCAGTCACAGCTGGAGCAGACTATTGTTATGCTATCGAGGTAAGCAATCCTTTTCATTCTTGTATCTCTTAAGCTAGCCATACCCGTCTTCAATCCCGGCTAATTCATGCTCAGATTAAATATTGACTGAGCCGAGTGGAAATTTATCAGCCAGTGACTGCATCCTATCGCACCTATTGAATCTCTGTTTGGGTATTTAGACAGTTGTGTGTGCCAGGGCTTTCTGAATACAATAGCTGCGTGAATAAAGACTAAACATTTGTACAAATGCTGAGCTGCTGGTAAACAACTATTTACACCAATGATTTTCACTCCTGCTTGAGAAATAGGTTTGTATGCAGGAGCTATAGGTTTCGAGTCCATCACTGTTCTGTTGTCCATTGCTAGAGTCCTGATGAAGGGGGATTCCTGACTCCCCAAACATGTTGGCTATGCTTATCTTCTTCATGCCGTTTGTGGAGCCAATAGAAATGTATTTTGGATTATTGAGATGCTTACCTGGTGCTCTTTTTTTTTTTAGTCTTCATTCACGTGGATTTCTCATTCTGGGTGTCCCCTCCCTTATGAGTCAAGTGAATGTCTCACCACACTCCTGATCAGTATATCACCTGAGAATGTGTGCTGGAATGGCTGCGGATGGCGCTGATCAAATCAATGCAAAAGCAGAATGTCATCAGCACACCGTCGAAATATGTCCCTTCCCTATACTGAGCCTGATTAAGGGGCCCTGTGCGGCCCCGAAACGTTGCTATCTATGTGACAAATTGTATATAGTAAAGATGATTTTTGGCCATATTGCGATGGTGCGCTGGTGATTTCTACTTTTCCCTTCCTTTGGAGGGCTCCCTGTTTTGTGAAGAACTGCTGGAACCAAGCCATCAAGCCCAAATATTGCTCCTATTCGGCTTCCGCTGGCATGGAGACCGCTTCCCGGGAAATCAGGAAGCCAGGTGGTGAGTAATGACCCGCCTCCCAGCTTCCTGATTGGCTGGGAAGCCGACTCCATGCTGATTGGCTGGGAAGCGGGCTCCATGTTCCCCTATGGCACTGCCGGTCAGAGGAAATCTTCCTCTGACCACAAGTTCCAGTATCAGGGGAGGTATCGGAGCATTTGGGCGATGCTAGTATCAGTGCATCCCTAAGGCATTATGCCTTTAAATAAGGATGAGCAAGGTTACTAGCGTCAGGGGTATTTACATATCTGTAAGGACCTTTAAGCAAGGTGCTCATCTAATTGGAGAGCATGGGTATGTGTAAACAGCCCTCTAGTCTTTGGCATGTCTTATGTTTTCATTGTACAATCCCTAATTTCTGCCAGATCACATGATACGTGCTGATGGAATCTCATCTCCGGTGAGAGCATTCAAGGCAATGATTGTCAGTAAAAGTTGACTTATAATTGTGATTTTTATCGCAGGTGTTTACTCCTATGGCAGAGGCAGCCATCCAAATAGTAAAAGCTAATGGCTTTGGTGACAAGATCAAAGTTATCAACAAGCATTCAAAGGAAGTGACATTGGGACCAGGTGAGACTGGTAGAATGACATTGTTCTGTTTAATGTGTGAGCTGGACACAGACAGATTGTGTCCAGGGACAATTATCTATCCTGAATTGCAGGTAATTGTTCCACGTACGATTACATGTGGACATGGACAGAGGCAGCTGCTGTCAGCCCGTCATTCACTTGAACGGGCACAGCGGCCGCATTTTTACGGACATACCTGGGATTCCATAATTCGTAGATTCCTGCTGCAGGGGTCCCCAGAGGCAGCCTAAAGCCCCATGTGAGTTGGGGCCTAAGTATTCCTCTGTACTGTTCTACGATACCATACACTGTAATACAGTTAGATTCAGATTGTTTAAAGCAAATTTCCACGTTTGCAGTCACATTTGAGAAAATCCCGCTATATCTTTGTGTTCCCATTCACAAAGCATACTAAAAATATGTCTTCCCTTACAGGAAACTCTTGCTGTCCCCATAAAAAGACTAGGGACACCCTGAGCTTCTTCTCATTAACATTCAATGGTTTTAGATCATTAACACTTTGTTAGGACACAGTATTTAAATCTAGTTTACGACTGATAAAGAAAATCGCCAGCACAGTACAGACAGGGTTCATTTGGTTAAACATTACCTTCCCACTCCCCTTGCATTCCTGAGAAAATCTCAGTTTAGGGAGAAAGATATCTTTCAGAAACGAGCAAGTAATATGTAGGCAGCCATTTTTAAATGTGTTAATTATAACTCCCCAGCCCCCTCCTTAACATTGCTTGGCAAAGGAAGTAGCAAGTTATGCTATGTGCACGAGAACATGTAACAAACATAAAATTGGTTTTATTCCACATTTGGCTGCAAAATGTAAATACAATTCAAAAAAGAACTAGGGGGCAACATTTTTTTGGCCATAGTTCTCTTTAGGATCACAGGAGGACATATATTAATGTCCTCCTGTGACCCAAAACTCAGCATATAGCTGGCTATTGCCCGCTATATGCTGACAGCTCAGAGCCGCACTGCAGCTGGGACGGATCCCAACAATATTGTTGGGATCCATCCCGCCACCTGATTGACAGCTAACTGTGCCTGCCCCCTCCACCGTCCGTCCCTCCAGTCAGCCCTGGAAGAATGGAGAGGGGAATTCCTGCGAGGGGCAGATCAGAAACTCAGTGATTGGCGTTATGTGATCGCTCAATTCTTGATCAATAGGGCCGACGTGTGACAGCGTCAGTATCGCACATCAGCTTTAATTAAGGGGAAGAGTGTAACACTCCTTTTAAATAGCTATAAATAGTACATGTAAGTAAAAAGAACGCCTCAAGTTGACGTGATGGGTAACCCCCTGCTTGTGGAACACAGGACAGTGCTTAGTGGCAGTAATTCAAAAAAGAAAATCCATTATCACAAAAAATATATTTTAATTCTTCGATCAACATTGGCTGTTGAATGACTCCAAAGGTTCTGCAAGCCTACGATTCTGCAAGCCCAGCAAGCAGGGGGCGAAATGTGCCATAGAGGAGGTCGTGGGTGGCATGTCCACAGTTGCTGCTGGACGAATAAAGTTGTTTTGAACTGGATGGACTTGCAGTATAGGGCCTCACGTTGTTCAAATATATATATACCTATATCATATATACACTGAGTGGCCAGATTATTTTGACCACCTGACGTTTGTATGCAAATTAGCTATAATTAGCTATAATTTCGTCCTGAAGTTGCTAGAGGGCCAGACCATTATATATAGGGAAGCAGGTTGTTCACCACGACAGTAGAAGTGATTTTTTTTCTGACGATATGTGTAAACGCGATCTAACAGCCTTTGAACGTGGGATGATTGTTGGAGCTCAAGCCATGAAGCGAGTATCGGCAAAACAGCAGATTTCGTTAAATGTTCAAGAGCAGCTGCTGTTAAAGTGTTTAAAGACTGGACTGTCAGCCGAAAATCTGGGTCTGAACGTGTGAATTGTGGCCGTCAGCTACTAATCAATGTTAGGGCAGAACGGGGAGTGGCAAGACTGGTACAAGACAACAGAAGGGCAACAGTGCAGTGTCAGATTCCTCGCATCACTTTTCCTGGAGTCACGAGGTGGCCCAATGAAGTCATCTCGTGGAGTTATCTCATGGCCCAACGAAGTACTGATGGGGTGGTCATAATAATCTGGCCACTCAGTGTAGATATATGATCTATATAGAGATAGAGATATATATAGATCTATAGATCTATATATAGATATATAGATCTATAGATCTATATATCTATATATATCAGGGATGATAAACACTGCAAGTATAAGAGAAGGACCCCCCTGATGGCCTGGGAGGACCCCATTCTGCCTGCTGGTACGTCATGTCCAGGTTTCTGTAATCATGACTTGCACAGCAGAGATCTCTTTCCCAAGGGAATGATTCGAGAAATACATGTGCATATCTTCTAAAATTGTACATTTCCAGTTTTATAATACATATCTGAATTCTTGTTACAGATGGAGACATGATGCAGCGTGCCAACATCCTCATCACAGAACTGTTCGATACAGAGCTTATAGGAGAAGGGGCCCTGCCTAGTTATGAGCATGCTCAGCAAAACCTCATGCAGGTATAAGGAATTCAGAATTGCAGTGTTGGCATAGTACTTGTTTTCAGGGGACAATGAAATGTGTTCATCAAAGATAAACATTTCTCAGGTGCATGTCAGTATTCTGCAGTCCTACTTACATGTCCTTAGAATCCACAGTCCCCTGTTGGACTGTCAATTGTTGCTTGTTTGCCTGTTTGTTCTCTGCTTCCTGCTTATTGTTCTGCTACTCACTCATCTGTTGGTTTGCCATCTCGGTGGTTATCTGCGGCTCATTGGCCCCCTGGCCTTTATGGTTCCTCAACTGCTGCTGTCTCACATAGGCCATCTTATCTACCTTTTGTTTCTGCTGTTTCCCTTTGTCCTCTTGTATACTTGTCGCGGTTCCTGCCATTCCTGCGGCTCTCGGAGCATCATCCTGCCCTTTTCTTGAGACTCAGTGATTGAGCACTTACTTTTATTGTCTCAGGCGAGCCAGCGATACTAGGGGCATGGCTTAGTTCATCTCTCTTGATTGCCCATTTCTACACTCAGATTTCTTCTACTAGGATATTATTACCCTGTGGCTGTAGTTTCTGATTATCCTGTCCCCAGACTACTCCGTATTGAGTCTGTCCTCACCTAGTTCTTCATCCCTGTCTATTGTTTTCTTAGCTCTGTCTCCTTTCTCATCTAACTCCTACTTCTGGGGTGCTCCCTGTGTGCACTGACCCTGCTGCCTCCCTGATCTGTGTTCCTAATCCTGAGTTCTTGGACCCCACGTAGCTGACCTATAGCTCATCTGCTGACCATGGCTTGTTAGCTTCTTTGGTATTACACTGCTTATCTGGCTTCAACTTTTGGTTTGTCTGACCAAGTCCTTTCTAATCCCGCTGTTACTGTGTTAGCCCATGACATCAACGTCAGCCTTTATGTCAACCTCAGGGTTGGATGGATACCTTCGCTTGGGAAAAGGCCAGCATAGTAACTTTAGATACCCAGCACTTAAGTTCCAGGGGTCATCTGAGATCTGTATAATGAACATAAAAAGTGCCAGAAAGGTGGCTGCTACAAAGAGAACCATGTTGTAGTAGTGCTTACCTGGTTTTCACAGTAGATTGACCATTACAAAATTGAAATGTTGTTTGTGGGCCAGTGCACTAGCTGTACAAATTTGTTTCCCAAAAATGTTCCCATGAGCTTGAAGCGCCTTTCCAAATGTTCCATTCAGTAACTGTATCCAGTCGGGTAGACTCTTGCTCTTTATAGTATTTGGAAAAGGTTTTTGTACAATCTGATTGTAATGTAGTTACACAATACTTAAGAACACAATGAACAGAAGTAAAAGCAGTTTAGATACTTTCTATGGTTACCTCTCTTCACTGGACATCCACATTTGTTTTTATTAGCATGTATGTTATTAAGACACCTTTGCTGCCATTCAGTTGTATAGAGATCATGTATTAGTGGTACCTGAGGACCAATGTTAGAAAGCAATGCATTGTGCACATAGATATACTTCACTAACGTTGTTATTTGCCCATCTGTCCATCAATGTTGGTGCATACTTACAGGAGCGGTGGGAAGCAGTACCTCATCGGGCTACAGTATATGCCCAAGTGGTGGAATCTCACAGGCTTTGGAGCATGAATAAGCTACTCCCCATAAACTTGGACCATGGGCTCATCAAACCTCCACTCGAACTTCAGACCTGTCCTGGAGCTCCATCAGTGTGTGACGTCCAGCTTAGCCAGCTGAGCACAGATGACTTCAATACACTCAGTGATATCATGGTCATCTTCAGGTGAGGGTGTATGCTGCTTTGTGTCTGTTTTTGTTGGATACAGCGAACATTTGGCAAGTTTGCCACAGATTTGCCATCTTGTCACAATGTACCCAAAGTATCTCTCAGAAAAGCATTGAGAAATATTTTTCAGATAATTGCCTGTTTAAAAAATGGCCCCCATCACTTTTTAATTATGTGACAGATCACAGTAATTCAGCCTCAATACGGTTTATTACACTTGTGAAGGTTCACACAAACAGGTAGAATAGGAGCTGCAAATAATTTGCACACATTCGCATTGCGCAACATTTGAAAATAGAGCTCCACTGCGTTCATAAATGTCCCTCGTTCTTTTCACAGCTTAGAAATAACAAGCTGCAGAAGACATGGTGTCAGTAGACTCTGGAGCTCCAACTGTTGGTTGTACAATGTAAATATACCGTATATGCAGTATCTAATATTTACCGTAACCACTTCCCGACTGGCCAACCGGATGGGTAAAAATGTCCATATTGTGCATGCTAGGCACAGGCATGATGCCTATAGTCCTGCTTTAATGAGACAATAGAGGTAATAGGCAAAAGCTCAGAGCCAATCAGAGTGGCTTTGTGCCTTGTGATGGCCAATAAGATCACCTGGGAGTGTCCACTTATTAAAAAGGGTTCATTTTGGGGGTGTACTGTTTGGCATTTTACTTGATGTGTTTTTATTAGAAAGTGAAAGGGTTTTTTTTAGTTGTTTTTTTGTTTTTTTTTGTCTTTTTAGTCTTTTCCTTTTTATATAGTTAAAAGAAAAATCCAGTGGTTTTTAACTGCCAAAAAGTTCTCACTATCTTGAAAAGATTTCAATTTTCTAATAATAAAATAAAAATGTGTTTTGGTACAGTGTTGCTTGACTGTGTAATTGTGAGTCAAAATTACATCTTAAAGTAGAATTAAAGTCTGGGGTTTTTTTTGGCATATATCTACGGCTATTGAGCAGTAGATATATAAGCTAGTAAGACCCCATTCACACTGAGCGACATGCAAATCGCGCGACTTTGAGCGACATTGAGCGGCGTGTCGCGCGACATCTTCCTATTGGGCTGTATGCAATCAGGAGCAATATCGCTCAAAATCGCTCTAAAAAAGGGTCATGTAGAAGCGACAAGCTACCAGCGACGAGCTACAAGCGATATTGAGCGACATTGAGCGACGAGATGTGAACAGCTACATTGAATTGTATTGGTGAAGCTACATAGAGCGATATAGTGCGGAAATATGAGCGATATCGCTACAAAAATCGCGCGATAAATCGCTCAATGTGAACGGGGCCTCAGTAGTAGATATATGCCCCAAAATAAAAAAAAATGAAAAGTTGGACAACACCAACAAACTTACCTGTGTCAGCGCCGCTCGCTCCCGGCAGCAGTCCTGGCTCCCGAACGCTCTGAAAAAGGAAGTGTGGGCGAGCGCATGCGCAAGCCAGATCGTCAGAGGAGAGCAGCGCTGAAGCTGGATGGACGCAGCCGGGAACGCACACGTCGAACAGACAACTTGGGACCCGAGGAGTCTGCGGTGGATCAGAGACTTGCACCAGCACTGGAGGGACTGTGGAAAGGAAGAAGGTGTTTGGATCACGAGGCATCACATAAGGTAAGTCTTTACAGCAGCATTGGGGGGGATAATAAGTTTCCCCAGCAGGCTTTTGCCTTTACCCCAGTGAAATGAGAGGTCTCCGGTACTGGTGTGGAGAACCGGATGCAGTGGGGCTGCTGAATCTATTTATGACTTCTAGACTGAAGGACTTTTATTAAATGATAGTAAAAGAACCTTTAGTATGAGAGGTTCATTCCATTCATTCCATATCTGTAAAAAAAATAAATCAAGGCAACTGGGACTTGCTGTATTTTTCTTAAAGGTGTTTTGCTGGTCATCCGACCAGCTTTCTCAAGTTGTTGAGTAGTGGTTAAGTAGTTGAGAAAGCTAGTTGGATGACCAGTGAAATGTCTTTAAAAAAAAGTCCCCAGTTGCCTTTATTTTTTTTTTTTTTACAGATATACCATAACCTGGATTAATGAGAATCTTCACAGACAAATTCATGCCATGTTTTTTTTTCTCACCCCTTTCTCCATTGTAGAGTGGATTTCAGCCAGCAGGTCAGCAGCACTACAGTCTCTCATCCTGTAAACTTTACATCTAATGCCAATGGAGAAGCGCAGGTGGTTCTGTCATGGTGGGACATAGATATGGACCCTGAAGGAACAATCAATTGTACCATGAAGCCAGGCTGGCTGTATTCCGATGACCATTCTGTCCCTGTAAGTAATGATACCTATAAAATACCTAGTGGGAGAAAACTTTTTTCAGACACTCACAGTGTTTACTTTCATAATTTGGTGTAATTTAAACCTAAAAAAATCTTTTTTTTTCCTTGGCAATTCCACAGTCCAAATTTATAACCTGTTATTATAGGCCTGTTCAAACGAGCCTGCTAAAACACTCCATTCAGGTCCCCCTGTGCACCTGCCACGGCATGCAGTGCACTGCAATAAAATGCAGCACTGCTTTATGGTGTGAATGGGACACATAGCGAACAATTGTTTTGTATGTGTCCTTGCAGTGACCTGCGTTGATCCAGTGCAGTAAAACGCAGGTAACTTCTATGTGTGTGTGAACAGGCCCCCAAAGATACCTTTTCACTTGTTGGGTATTAGTTTAAAACTATTCTGCCGTGTATTCCATTCATTGATATTTTTTTGTGGTTTTTTTTTATGTCTAGTGGCGGGATCACTGGATGCAGTGTGTGTATTTCTTACCTGAGGAGAGGAAGGTGACGCTGGGGGAGGAGCTGTGTCTCACTGCTCATCAAGATGACTATTGTGTGTGGTATACGCTTATGAAGCCTGGGTAATTCCTATTCAGTATAGTCACATTTCAAATGAGCAGCATTCTAATATTGAAAAGGTGTTTTTGGTGTTTCCTTTTTGGACAGAAATGAGACAACACTAGTGAAAGTTTAAACTATGCTCTCTATATTGCAGTGCGGAGGATAGCAGCCCAGTATCGGATGAACGTCCTATTTGTCACTGCGGAGCCCATATTATTTGGAACCGTACGCGGTTTGGGGAATTGAATGACCAGGGCAGATTGAAGAAGTACAAAGAAGCCATGAGGAAGGTAATGGAGGCTTGTTATAGCAGGTAGCTGCCTTTACCTTTTATTAACCTCTGTTTGTTATATACATTATATAACGCTCTATGTTCTGTTAGACTTCTTGGCTACAAACTATTAACTTCATGTAATTAAAATGTCAGAATCAAATCCAACACACCTTGCCACACATAATGTCGTTTTTGTTGTGGATTAAATCGTTGCTTACAATAATTGGATATTTAATGGGTATAAGAATACAAAATAATGAGCATTTGGAAGTAGTGAAATGTTGTCCTGTCTGCTCAGCTAACCAGCACTTAAAAAGATTAATATTTGAACGTGTAGTCTTGTTATATGTGACAGTAATAGGCTATACCAGGATCATTTTAATGACTATGATGAAAAGCCCCGAAGCATAAATATATATAATTGGGGCATAGAAAATTCATTTGAATTATGAATTTTACAGCTGTATCTACAATTAAATATTAAAGTGTCTATTTATAGGTGCTAAAAGTCCATGAACCCATCGCACTCCTGACCGCTTGATCCAAAAATAGCTGGTGGGTGTAGCGGTAGTCAACGGATGGCAAACCTTACATGCATGCATTTAAGGACGTAGATGCAGCATATCACACAAGTGGCACTTGTGTGATATGCTGCATCTACGTCCATAAATAGATGCATTTGATCTGCATTTGGAGTGCCGGTGTCCCATTTCTAATTATTTATAAATGCTTTCACCCAAGATTCACACATTTACTATTGAATGCAAAACGTGTGTGTGAATCCTGAGTAAAAGTTGTGTGTCCTGTTCGAAAACATGGATAGACCACCCTAGTGTTTTTGTATTTTGTTTGGTTTTTATGCTCAGGATAAAAAACATTAAACGTTTAAAATAATTAGAATTATTTTCATCACTGAGATAAATTTGAAATATTGCACGTCAATATTTGTATACTAAGCCATGGCGGCCAGCAGGCGCAGTGCTATAGCCTACGTCTGCTGATATTCTGCCCAGTGATCTACTGTGAGGCTGTGAATAGCCTGTGTCATTGATTTTCTGCAATATAGGTCCGTTCACAAAACACACACATGGAAATGTGGCAGAGGAGGGGCATTCTTTGCTCTGTCTCATATGGACAGTGGCCGTCAACAAGGTAAAAAGAAATGCTGTGCTTTATTAGAAAGCCCAGCATGTTCTACAACCTACATGGCTTTTAAGCACACTGTAATACATGTTTAGTTGTAAAATAAAGATTTTATACAAGCAATAACAATGTATATAAACAATCAGTTTATTAAAAACAAAACAAAAAACCTTTTATAGTTTCTCTTAATGCGGCATTACTACTAATACTGTGGCATACCAACTGCTTTTACATATCTATTTCTAGTGATGTTCTCTGTAGACCCTTATTGGAATAACTGCATGAACTTCTAGGCTGGAACTTTCTGCGACTATGTAAAGTGATTGAGTAGGACTATTTGAAGTTGTTGTGTCATGTCTTCTCCAGGTGCTTGTTTTTGTCACTACAGATGAAATATGGTAATTCGGAGGAGTATAGGGCATTAGTATCTCCGTAAAAAATTAGTTGTGGAGTATGAACACCTATTACAATGTCTGTACCTAAGGACTGCATCATTTTATTCTACTTTGCTTTGCTCTAATGTAGTGTCCTTTATTATCACTGCAGGTCCTAAAACCAAGCTCTGTATGCATGTGTATAAGTGATGGGAGTTTGCTTCCCTTGCTGGCTCATACTATGGGAGCAGCTCAGGTAATTTTGTAACCTTTTGGTGAACGGCTAAAATAAAATTGGAAACCAGCTCAGCATTCGATCGATAAATGTGTAAGCATAGGTTACCTTGAGTGAAAATGACATGTCTAAGCAATCGGTAGATCTATAGATACAGGCATCTCTCACTGTACAAGTCAAGCTTGGCCTGCTCTCTCCAGGCTCCTGACCATGTGTATTGGTCCTCTAATCTAACCTGACTGATAAGGAGGAAGGCTAGAGAGCACAAGAATGCATATGATTATATGGAAGGGAGATAGAAGGTTCTACTTAAGTAGGGTATACATAATTAGAATTTTGCACAAACAAAATCAATTTCGGAATGTTCGTTCCACTTTCTTATAGTTGCTGGGCTCAAATCGATGATCAATTTTGACCGCAGTGATAAAACAATTTGAAGGAACGTGTTGGAAATTTTTCTCAATCGAACGAAATTCTAACAGTGAATGTGGTTTTCAATTCGGAAACTCCATTTATTCCAAAATCAAATATTAAATTGAAATAAAAAATCAAATAAAACTTCGAACAACATTTGCCATTATGAAATTAGATTTTTTTGTACAAATGTTTGTTTGAAAATCTACCAGTGTGCTTTGGATTTATGACTTGTACACACTGTGAGGGGAATTTATCAAAAGTGGAGGAGCTGCGCATGGCAACCAATCAGCTTCTCTTTCATTTTCAAATCTTAACAGAACAAACTGAAGATAGAAGCTGATTGTTTGCCATGGGCAACTGCTCCAGTTTCTGTCTGCTCCAGCTTTGATAAATTCCCCCCCCCCCAGTGTCTGTTGAGCTGCTTTTTTCTGCACACCACCGTACGTGTATGGTGTAAACAAGGCGCATGGAACATCGTTGTTTACACCATACACATGAAAAATACAGCTCAATGGGCATGGTGTGAACAAGCCCTTAGCAAGGGGCATTTTCGATTTCTTGAGTCTACCACACCATACCCTGTCTGGTTGTACTGTGTCATTGATTTCCAAGCCCTGCTCCATAGAAGCCAAATACTGCACTGATGATGACCAACAAGCATCAAACAGTTGTATGTGGTGTGCCATTAGTGGCTGTATCATAATAAGTCATATTTGTCCTCTATACCAGCGGTTCTGGATGCAAAGTTAGCCCAGAGGGATGGATTTCATGACTCTGCTTGCTTTCTTCAAATGTGGAAGAAAATATTTTTTTTTGGGGTTCCTAGTGGAAGTGAGATATACAGATGCAGTCAGAAACGTGCAAATGTAAGAAGTTTTTTAATGCACGTCAGTTAAGTTTTACATTGCAAAGGCAATACAAAGTCTTTAGAAAAAGCTCCCGGTCTTCTTTCATTCCCCTCAGGCACAAAAATGATTATTATTATTATTATTATTATTATTAAATAACACAAAG